CAAGCATTCAGTTGGTGGCACCTGTGCAGGGGCCACTCCCTAAAGTCTCAGTGTTGCTTTTATCAAGTCATGGGCAAGGGGGCTCAGAAGGGATAAGTTTCCAGATATATTCTCCACTGACCTACCATTGTTAAATGTAGGGATAGGGATGGGGTGGGGGCATAAGCCATGGGAACATTTGGGCCCAACATATGCTAAAAACAGAAGAACCTGGAGAGATGGCAGAGCAACTACCAGGCTTTCACAGGGGATTCTCTTCCACACAGGGCTTCAATGTCAGGAAGGCCACGCCGCTTCCTGTTCCTGCTAGGACTAGGATCCTCAGCCAAATGCTGAGCAATTTACTATTTTTGTTAACATCATCTATGGGGTATTTTTTGGTCTTTTTTTTTTGTTTTTGGTCATGGGGCTTGAACTATGGGCTTGGGTGCTGTTCCTGGGTTTTTTCCCCCCTCAAGGCTAGTGCTCTAGCACTTTGACTCACAGCTCCATTTCCAGTTTGGGAATTATTATTTGGAGATAAGAATCTCATGGACTTTTCTGCCTGGGCTGGCTTTGAACCATGATCCTCAGATCTCAGCCTCCTGAGTACCATGAGCAATCAGTACCCGGCTCATTTATGTTTTTAAAATGTGTTATTTCTCTGATTTTAGTAAGCTTTCCAAGGAAATGATGTACTGGTGCATTAATGTTAGATTCTAAGTTCTTAGACAAATATATATTTCAAGCTACATTTTCATTATAATCCTATTTCACTAGGTAATATAAAGTGGGATACCTCCTTAGTCATCCTTAAGTGAACTGTTTCATTTTCTGTATTCTCCCAGTCAAATTCTGTTGTCCATTTGGTTTTGTACTTGTTATTCACCTTGGACTTGAAATTTATTTTGCTTATTGGGGTAAGTAACCAGGACCCCAAGGCAATAATTTATTCTTTCTTCTTGTCCTATTGACATAATGAGAGCAATCTCTCACAACCCTTTTGTAGTACCACAAGACACTATATACCATAGAGTTGTCTTTAATAATCGAGGGCACCAGGTGCAGGTAGCGCATACCTGTAATCCTAGCTACTAGGAGGGCTGACATCTGAGGATCGCAGTTCGAAGGCAGACAGGACAGGAAAGTCTGTGAGACTTTTATCTCCAATAAACTACCAAAAAGCAACAAGTGGAGCTGTGATTCAAGTGGCCTTAAGAAGCTCAGGGAGAGAGCCCAGGTTCTAAGTTTAAACCTAAGGACAGGTACGAAGAAAAAGAATTGAGAAGGCTTTAGTCTACATTTTCCCCACTCACCATTAACTTCCCAGATGTTAGGATCATATGTTAAAAAGGGACTATATGAGGGATTTCACCCTTCCAATGAAGTGACAAAATACTAATGACTTTTGAGGTCTGAGCTTTATAATCTTTTACATGCAAAGAAAACAATATTCTGGAAAACTGATTTCTGGCTTTTCCTCCAACTTTAAACTATGCAGGTCTAGAACATCTTATATATTTCAACATGAGCTATAACCTATCCAATGTTTGATGAAAACATTTTGCAAAGTATACCATTTACTACACCTAAAAACTTAGTGATATTCTTGACTATCAAGGCCTTTATGAATATAATTACAGCATAATTCCCACACGTGAATAAAATGCCAATTTTGAAAGGTCATGTGCTTAGGAGTAATCTAATTATCAGATATCTACACAAGGAATACTTTTTAGTTCTTGAAGGAATGAAAGTTTTATAGGATTAGGGAACCCAGGGCCTTGTACATGTTAAGCAAGCACTCAACTACTGAGCTATATCCCCAGCCATTACTACATATTCCTTATTAAAAAGCAAACCTAGGGTGGGAGTGCTGACTATATACAAGTATACTCTATGACGTGTCCACAGGGCTGGTTCCATCACTAGCAATAACAAAGAGGCAACTCATAAAGATGCCAGCCTAATCTCTCCTGATCTAAAATTAAATGAAACTTAATTTCAAATGCAATTCCATTTCTCAAAAGGGGAAATAAGAGGAATGTCCAGGAGAGACATTGCAGTGAAATAGCTATTTATTTAAAAAAAGATTTTGAGGAGGGAAAAGTAGGAAAATTGAGGGAAGGGGTTAACAAGAAATGTACTCATTACCTTACTTATGTAACCGAAACCCCTCTGTCACCTTGACAATTACAAAAAAGAAAAAAAAAGTTTGGTTTTACAGAAAAACAAGATTTGAATTGATCACATATGAAAATATATTATAAACCAGGTGCTGGTGGCTCATGCCTATAATCCTAACTACTCAAAAGGCTGAGATCTGAGGATCATGGTTCAAAGCCAGCCCAAGCAGAAAAGTCTGTGAGACTCTTATCTCCAATAAACTACTCAGAAAAAGCTGGAAGTGGTGGTTTGGATCAAGTGGTAGAGCACTAGCCTTGAGCACAAAGAGGCTCAGGGACAGGGACCAGGCCCTAAGTTCAAGCCTTAGGACTGGCCAGAAAAAAAAAAAAAAGAAAATGTATTACAGAATACAACATCTAATAATAGAGCTAAAATTTCACAAAAATTTAATATATGACCAGGCAAGTATGGTGTCTCACACCTGTAATCCTAACTACTTAGGATTCTGAGATCTGAGGATCAAGGTTCAATGCCAGCCCAGGCAAATTCAAGGCTCCTCTTATCTCTAATAAACTAGCCAAAAGCTAGAAGTTGAAGTATGTTTCATGTGGCAGAACACTAGACTTGAGCCAAAAATCTAAGCAAGAGTCCTCAGTTCAGGCCCCAGGATGGACGAACAGATAGACATACACGTGAATGCATGCATGTATGAGCATACACACATATGAACACATACACATGACCAGGCAGTCTCTCAAATCAGCTGGGGATAAAGATAGCCTTGGAGGTGAGCACAGGTGTCTCTTACCTGTAATCCTAGCTACTCAGGAGGCTGAGATCTGAGGATAGTGGTTCAAAGCAAGCTTAGTCAAGAAAGTCCATGAGACTTAAAACCTGTAATTATCTACAAAATTCTTCTCATTGCATGCCTCACAAAATAAACCAGGGTATGTGTGTGTATATATTATACATATATATGTATATATATATATATATATATTTCAACATAGGTGAATCTGTCCAATGTTTCATGAAAATATTTTGCAAAGAATATCATTTACTGGATGTATAGGGATCTAAGAATTAAGTGTACAATACACAATAGAAAGCATTGGCTTATTCCTTTATCACTTCAGGGAAAAGAAAGTCTACCTGTTTTTTTTTTTTTTTTTTGCTGGTCCTGGGGCTTGAATTCAAGGTCTGAGCCCTGTCCCTGAGTTTCTTTTGCTGAAGGCCTTGAGCCTTGAGCTAAGAGTCTCACAGACTTTCCAGATTAAGCTGGGTTCGAAGCATGGTCCTCAGATCTCAGCCTCCTGAGAAGCTAGGATAATAGGTGCAAGCCACTGGTGCCCAGTTAGTGTGCGTATTTATTCATTTTTTGGTGTTTTTGTGTTTTGTTTTTTACTCAAAATCCACCAACAAACACATGGAAAGCTGTGCTCTGGTAGCTGATAACTATAATCATAGCTACTCAGGAGATTGAAATCTGGAGGTTCTGGGTTGGAAGCCAGGTCAGGGAGAAAAGTCTCTGAGCCTCTTGCTCAAAACAATGAGGAAGGATTGGGAATGTGGCTTAGTGGTAGAGTGCTTGCCTAGCATGCATGAAGCCCTGGGTTCGATTCCTCAGTACCACATAAACAGAAAATGCTGGAAGCGGTGCTGTGATTCAAGTGGTAGAGTGCTAGCCTTGTGCAAAAGAAGCTCACAAACAGTTCCCAAGCCCTGAGTTCAAACCCCAGGACTGGGAAAAATGAACAAAAAGCAAAGCTGGATGCATGGCTTAAGTGTTAGAGCACTAGTCTAGCAAGCACTAAACCCAAGTGCAAACACAATCGTGAAAAAACATAAATATAAATACATGAAATTCCATGTTTTAAAAATCAGAAAACAACAATTGTGAAAATATTTTGTCTTCAGACTATGTTTTTAAATACTGTTAATGCCAAACATTACCATCAGTATGAGTAACAAGAAACAAGCACACAATGGAACACACACAGAAACACACACTATTGTCTAGAAATAACCAGTGTTTTGTTCCCTTTGGGAATTTTTTTTGTGTACATACAACTTGTTGGACTTAGACATGTTTTTGTATTATTACCCCTAACTTTCATAATCTGATACACAAAAGTACTTATTTAAAAGCTTTCATTAACTATTATATCGTGGGACTGTGTAGTTCAGTAACATGCAAAATAATACATTAATAATAATGATGATAATTCCTGATCCTCGTACTTTCCAAACCTGTAGGAAAATGAATATTTGAGGGCTTGTCTTTTATTTAGGTTAATGCATACACGCAAGTGGAGCTGTATTACTTTTTGGCTCATAAATATTCCCTAAAGGAGACTTTCCTTCCTTATGGTAGGTTCGAGGGAGCCCAAGCCACAATGCACTCGGAGGCCAAACGGTTTAGTCACCATTATGTCGGCCCGAACCCAACACAGGACTCACTCTAGACCGTGTGTACGTGTGGGATGGGGAGAATCTGTGAGAGGAACCCACACGCATGCGCCTTAAAGATGAGGAACCCAAACGCATGCGCCCACAGGTCACAGGGAAATGCTTCCAGGCCTAAGGTTGGGGAAGTGCACAAGGCTCTCTGCGCGCGCGCGCGCACACACGCACACACACCCTCAACTTCCACAAACAAAAGACCCTCCCTGGATGCGTGGCAGACACTCCCCGCCCCCCCCCAGTTTCTGTTAACAATGAGTTCCAGAAGTCGGTGAAGGTTCGGTTGCAGCCACCATTGTGCAAAATTGCACCGCAGGCAGGGGCTGCCCACACGTTGCACGGATGTGAAGGCTCCAGCCCCACCCCCACTCCCGGTCCTGGGTCCTCCGCGCCAAGAAAAGGAAAAGGAAGGAAAACAGCAAAGGACTCACCTAGCAGGAGCCATAATGTCCTGCAGCTCTAGCTTAGGTTCCCGGCGTACAGCTACCACCTGAGAGTCGGCCCAACATGAATTGAGGGTGAGGGCGGAAAGAATTGCGAAAGTGGGGAATGGTGAGAGAAAGCTGGCTCTGTGAAGCGCTGGCTCCGCCCAGGGGAGGCGTGGGAATCCTGGGTGCTTGGTGGGCGGGGCAAGGTGCGCTTAGGGAAAGTCCGATGGGAAACACCTCTTCCTAACTGCTTTGCAGAATCTATTTACTTTGTTAGTAAGGCCCTTGCTGGCAAGAGCGCTAATAGTGTCAGAGGGGACACTAAAACCAGTAAGTTTGCCATTCACTGTTCGGTAAGACCACAGGGAGCGCGGGAAGATAGTAAGTACATTTTCAAACGACTTTATTCTAAGCTCATGAGGTGTATCCCCGAAATTACTAAAGTCTTTAATTGTTCCCTGCCTAGGAAGCGGACTCCCCAAGTGCACGCGCTCCGCTCCTGCAGCTGTGTGCCTTCCTGCTCTTTGCCAGTAAACTATTTATACTCCTTCTATTGTCTGCCAGCGGCTGCCAAAGGGGGCTCCCACAATGCCGAGGTGGGTGTGTATTGTTGAGGCCGAGGGACTCAGTTTCCCTTGCCTGAACACAGTCCTTCCGGTTAAAACATATATCTCCTTTGGAACATGGACACACTGCTGATACAAGGACACAAAGATAAACCACGAAGGCAGCACACAGGAGTCTTAAACTAGGGCATGAACCAATTCAAACCGTACTTCCTAAAAAGGGTGTGAGGAAGAGACTTGCAAATAACAGCTGAGTAAGGACCTTCCTAAGCCCTGTGTAACCTGCCAGTTATTTGGTTCCTAAACCATTGATCTCAAAGATATTTTGGTTGAGCCTTTTCTTTGTTTTACTGGGACAGAGTCTTCCTAAGTAGTCAAGGCTAGCCTTGAACTCTCCTTGTATTGCTTCATCCTTCTGAATGCTGAATTACAGGCATTCACCACTATTCCCAGCTTTGTTGACCCTATTTATTTCCATTGTTGATGCAGTCATTGATTTTTTTTTTTGTCTTCTACATCTGTCCTGGAACTTAAACTGAGGGTCTCATTCTTGCTTGGCTTTTTCACTCAATGTTAGTGCTCTATCATTTTAGCCAAAACTCTATTTCTGGCTTTTTGTTGGGGGGGGGGGCTTGAACTGAAGGCCTGACTGCTGTCCCTGAGATTTCTTTCTCAAGGCTAGTGCTCTACCACTTGAGTCACAGTTCCACATCCAGCTTTTGGTGGTTAATTGGAAGTAAGAATTGCAGGGACTTCACTTCCCCAACTGGCTTCAAACCACAATCCTCAGATCTCAGCTTTCTGAGTAGCTAGGATTACAGTTGTGAGACACTGGTGCCTAATTGATTCATTTTTAAGAAAAAAATATTCAAAATACAGCAGTGTCTCAAGCAAGAACTGAAGTCCCTTGGTCCAGATCCACTCTCCCTGTTATCTGCTCTAGAAGGAAATGCACATTCTCTGCATCTACCCCAGGATGGCACAACTTGACATCAGCTACCTCTAACTCCACAGAATTTCCTGCCTCCATCCACTCCTCAATCCCCAGCTGGTCTTAACCATCTCAGCACAGCTCCCACTTTGGGCAGTGCTGCTCCAAACCTTGGCCTCAGGTGAGAATGGGCAATCCATTTTTCCCCTCCTTATTCATTGTCTTGCTATTCAGGCAGCAGTGGGTAAGGTAGCTGGGAAGGGGAAGGCAAAAACCAGCCAAAACAGGAAATCTCACAAAATCCAGCTGCTTCTCCCAGGGAAGGACTCAGTAGGGGAGGCTTATTGTTCTATAGGGAATGGAGAGCTGCCAACTCCTCCCAGGAATTGCTCATGGAAGACTTGAGCTGTGACTCTTTAGTAGCTCCCCTCTAAATTCCTCCTGTTTTTCTCCTCTATCACAGTAGGGGGTAATGGCTATTCTCCCAGCCTAGAAGTAGGTCAAACCCATTGGGGAGGGGGGGAAATCCTCATTCTCTGGATAGACAGTTCAGCCATTATTTATTGTGCCAGGTAACTGAGGTCCACAAAGGCTAAATGGCTTTGTCAAGGTGAACCAGGATGCAGCCACAGGTTTGGGACTCCCATACTGTAAATCCTTTGCTCTCTCTATGCAAGAAAAGTTACTCAAAAAAAAAGAAAAGAAAAGAAAAGAAAAAGTATTCAACATCACTAGTCATTAGAGAAATGCAGATCAAAAACACAAGAGAATACCGCTTCACACCTTGCTAAAATGAAAACAAAATGCAAAATAACAATGATGGAGAAATTTTGGAATCCTCATACCCTATTATTGGGAAATAAAAGATGATGATCACACTGTGGAAAGCAGATTGTCACTTAAGTTAAATGTGGAGCAGAAAGCTAGGCACCAGTAGCTCACACTTGTAATCCTAGCTACTAAGAGGCTGAGTTCTGAGGATCACAGTTCAAAACCAGCCTCTCCAGTAAACTACTAAAAAAAAAGCCAGAAGTGGAGCTATGTCTCATTGGTAGAGCTGTAGCCTTGAGCAAAAAAGCTAAGGGACAGTACCCAGGCCCTGAATTCAAGCCCAGTTCAAGCACACACAAAAAAGTGGAACAGATTTTAGCACATGATCCAGTGATTGTTCAACTAGTTTACAGCCAAGAACACAGAAGAACAGTTATCCAAAGAAAACTTGTTACATGAATGTTTATGGCAATAATATTCATATAACCCAAAGGAAGAAACAACCCCAATGCCATCAACTGATGAATATTTAAAGAAAATATTTAATTTATACCATGTTTCATTGTTTTTGTTCTTGTTTTAATGCAGTGTCTCCCTATGTAATTCAAGTAGGCCTAGAATTTAGTAGGCTGGATTGGAGGCTCATAGTCTTCTCATAAGTCCTGGATTACAGACATTTGCTATCATCTTCACCTTGAGGTAAAATATTGATTGGAAACTTTGTAATATGGTTAGAGTGAGAATATTGTAATCCAAAGCTCAATGTTTATAGCAAAATAGTGGGAAACAAAATTTTGTGTGCAATCATATGATGCAATTAAAGCTCAAAGCATCAACTACAATATTTCTTGCTAAAAGTTGAGCTTCAGGGGTTGGAGGCATAGCTCAGGTCATAGAGTACCAGTCAATGAGCAAAAGCAATCCTTAGGTACTGAGTTCAACTTCCAGTCTTATACAAAAAAAGTAACAAAAGCTGAGCTTCAGTGTCTCAGGCCTGTAATTCTACCTACTCTGTGGCTGAAAGTTGAAGAATCCAGGTTTTGTTTTTTTGTTTGTTTTTGTCGGTCGTGGGGCTTGAACTCTGGGCTTGGGCGCTGTCCCTCAGCTCTTCAGCTCAAGGCGAGCACTGTACCACTTGAGCTACAGCGCCATTTCCAGAATCCAGGTTTGAAGCCAGACCAGGAAGAAAAGTTTGAGATATCCCATCTCCAAAATAACCAGTAAAAAGCCAAGTTGGAGATATGGTTTGAGTGGTAGAGTGCCAGTTCAGTGTATGTGAAGCTCTGAGTTCAAGCTCTGAAAAAAATATCCTAGTAGAGGAGACAGAGAAACTAGTCAATAATAAGATACCACTACAACCAATAAGGTATTTATATCATGGTTGATAGTCACATGTGTTATGCAGCAAACTAAGTAGATAAATGATATATGATAAATTTAGGATTTGCACTTCCAGGTAGGTCATACAGTGAAGGCATGGCCAAAAGAGTGATACCAGCAGAAAGACTAGAAGGAGTTGAGGTCAGAGCTCTGAGGTGATCGGGAGATGAAAGTTGAATTGTCAGGCATTGTTGTTTGATTCACTGGTAAATGTATTCATCACTGACAAACAGTAATTCCACTTTGAGGCAAGTGGTACTGGGTGTTGTATTGTTAGACAATATAAATTGGTGAATCTCGTTTCACAGGATTAAGGTATTATTGAAGATCTTTGACACTGAACAAAATGAGGGTATAGCCACAGGGAAGGATTGCATATGTTTCTGTAACAGGAATCATTTTTTTTTCCTTAACTCAGGGCCTGGGCAGTGTTCCTGAGCTTTTTTGCTTAAGGTTAGCTTTCTACCACTTTGAGCTAGAGCATCACTTTCAGTTTTCTAGAGGTTAATTAGAGTAAGTGTCTTGTGGACTTTCCTGCCTGGTATGTCTTTGAATCACCATCCTCAGATCTCAGCCTCCTAAGTAGCTACAATTATAGGCAGGAGCCACTGGCACCTGGTATTGTAATATGGATGTGTGTGTATGTGTGTGTGTGTGTGCACACACCTGTGCCAGTACCAGGACTTAACCTCAGAAATATTGTACTCATTTGGCTTTCTTGCTCAAGGCTAGAGTTAAGAGGCTCTTGGACTTTTCTGCCCAAAATGGCTTTGAACCGTACTCCTCAGATACAATCCTCCTGAGTACCTAGGATTACAGGAGTGAGCCACTGGTGCTAGAACCAGTCTAACTTTTTTATTGGTTAGTTAGAAATAGAAGATTTTGGAATCTGCTGCCGGGGCTGGCTTTGAACCAGGATTCTCTAATCTCAGACTCTATAGAATCTAGGATTATAAGCATGACCCACCAGCATAGGCTACATGGATATTCTTGGAATACAAAATAACCACTCATTTACATGGCTCAGTTCAATGTTGTAAAGCAGATGTGATAACCTCTACACCAAGGAACCTCTACTCAGTCCAGTGTTAATTTAGTTATTCCCCGTATCATCCCTTTCCTCCCCACCTCCCTAATTGCCCCCTCAACTCCTGCAAAGTTGGAAAGTTTGTTTTCAACATACTGTCTTGTACATGTCATTGTTACAATGGGTCATCCTGTATCCTTATTTCAGCATTTTGTTATTTCCCTCCCCCTCCCCAAATTACAAAAATGTATATACAAGATGCAGGACACCAGAATCAAATACAGTGACAACAGGGGTTGTACCATGGGGGAAGAACATACAAAGAAACAAAAAAAATCACATGTACGTTATAAGTACATTGAAAACAGCAGCAACGAAGATAAAACCTCTTGTGTCCCTACCTTGGGGTTCATTTTGCTTAACATCAGGTTATATGGTCATATGTACATAGCTTTTGATCTCTTCTGCTTGTCTTAGACATATACTAGTTATTGCAGATAAGGGAAACAATGGGACCTATGTTTGTTTGAGTCTGGCTTACTTCACTTAATATAATTTTTTCCAAGTCTTTCCATTTCCTAACAAATGGGGGCAGTGTCATTTTTCTGATGGAGGCATAGAATTCCATTGTGTGTGTGTGTGTGTGTGTGTGTGTATCACATTTTCTTGATCCATTCATCTACTGAATAATGGCTTCAATAAACATAGTTGTGCTGGTAGCTTTAGTATGGCTTTGTTTGTGATGGTTTGGTTAATGCCTAAAAGTGGGATTGCTGGGTCATAGGAGAGCTCCATGTGTAGTCTTTTGAGCAGCCTCCATACTGCTTTTCAAAGTGGTTGAACAAGTTTACATTCCCACCAACAATGCAGTAGTATTACCTTTTAGTCACATCCCCTCCAGCATCTGTTATTAGATTTCTT